GTCTGCATTTTTAGAATAAAGTTCTGATATTCTGGGTGGGTGGAAACTTCCGCCCATTTTCTAAACCATTTAGTCACAAATGGGGTCAGGGAGCCAATCCCAGCCAGCTGCAGGCGAGAACACCCTGGACAGGTCACCAGTCCATCGGAGGGCTAACACACAGACAAACAACCACTCACACAGGCAATTTTAGAGACACCAATCAACCTATGCAGCATGTCTTTGGACTGTGGGAGAAAGCCAGAGCAACCAGAGGGAACCCACACAAGCACGGGGGGAACATGAAAACCCCGCACAGAAAGGCCCCGGGGCTTGAACCTGGAACCTTTGTGCTGTGGCAACAGCAGTAACCACCGCACCACCGTGCTGCCTGGGTGGAAACTTTTTAATGCTATTACTGCTTGAATCTAAGCAATCGGGCATGGGCAGCAATAGTCCAGAGTGAAAATTACAGTTAAATTCTGGTAGTTTCATTAATATATTGTATGAGATCAAAATACATATTTTTTCCCACTTTTGTAGCAATTTAATTGGGCATACTGTCCTAGGAAAACTGAATTTTGCAAAACAAATGTATTAACACTTAACCTTTAATGCAAGTTTTCATATTTTGTTTGTTTGTTTGTTTGTTTTGATTGAACTAGATGGCACCATAGGTCTTTCAGCATGGTGCTGTTTTGCATTCTTGAATGATCACAAACATTTTAAAGGTCGCTGCTGCAATTTGCAGTAAAGGAATGTATTATGGTATCTGATGAACAGGCATTTCAAATTGACCTTCAAGTGGGATGAAATGAGTGAGAAGGGGAATGAGTAGATGGGAAAGAAAGGGATAAGAAACTTAAGGAAAGACTCAGGCAGCTAGAAAAACAGAAGAAATTATAGAGAAAACAAAGAGAAGTGTGTGTGTCTGTTATGTTTGTGTCATCCAGGCAATGTGTGCATGTGAGGTGTGATGGCATGGCTGACTGGCTCAGGCTGGGAGAGCTGAACGAAAGGTTAGGAAATGTCAAGCACAGCTGAGAACCACACACACACTAACACACACGCACACAGTCTATCCCACCCCATGACTGAATATGGATCAGCAACTCTCAATGTGCCTGGGAGCATGAAACAAAATGAGGCACTGTTATGATCGGGTCAGATCCTGTCTAGCACAAATCTTTTTTCGTGTTACTGGGAAAGTTTCCATAAATTACTGGCAACCTGAAGGAGTAGAAGAGGCTGTCTCCACAGTAACGTGTCTCGATTTGCCAGATTGTGCCAGTGTGTGGCTTGACAAATCAGCAAAATTCTATTTGTTTGTGCAGGGTAAAGGTATCATCGTGACACCAGCTGCAGATGGTTGGGATGACCTCACACCTCTTCAGTTATCTGTGCTGATGCAGACAGTGTCAGGACAACAAGTGATTTTATTTATTTAATAACCATTCATTCATTTCATCAGACACATTTGAGTGTTAATTTAGAGAATGTGTCCTTTTTCTCTCCCTGTACCTTTCTACAGGTATCCCCGGCTCTGGAGCTCTACGTTTCTGATGAGTGGTCACCGGCCACCTCAACCTGCCCAGTGTTTGATTGTTTGTTGTGTCTTGTTGCTTTTCTTTTCTTTTCTTTCTCCTCTATCCACCCACCCCAACCTGCTGAGGCAGGAGGCCGCCCACCAAGAGTCAGGGTCTGTCAGAGGTTTCTTCTTCGGTTTTTCTCTAAAATACTGTGAGGTCTTGACCTGTCTATGCAATGTGCCTTGGGGTGATTTTTGTTGTGATTTGGGACTATATAAATAAAAATGAATTGAACTGAAGTGAACTGCCAGTATTGTTAGTATGTTTGGTTAGCTGCCGTTTGCTAGGTGTTAGGGTTAGGGTCTTTGCCAGTGTTATGAGCTAACGTTTCTGCCAGTATTGTTAGCTAATGTTGTGTGTTTTGGTAGCTAACTCACATCACAGGTTCTTACAAACAGTAACAATTTATGGACTAAATGCATCCCTAATCCCACTTAAAATTTAACAAGTGGCAACAACAGCTGCAATAAACCATAAAAATATACAGCCCAGCACTCAGACACTTCTGTAAAGTTAAGCTAAACCTATTGTATCATTGTCAAGAGCCATACAGTATGGTGGTGTACTAATAAAGTTAATTTAACCAGGCAGTTTTTTGTGTTTAAATGTTGGAATGAATCTAAGATTAGTGTCAGCAGTACACTGTATTTATAATCCTTTATATACTCAATTGAAGCCAAAGCTCAGTACTTTCATTAATTCACTTATTTGCTTCCTGGTGGAGAGTTAGACAAAAGGATCAGTACTGCTAAATCAAAAATCACACTGGGCGAGATACACAGATTCAAAATGAGGGACATTCAGAAATCACCAGGACAGACAGACGATGGAGACCACTGACCAAAAAATCCACAGGCAGATAAATGTATGGCAGGATGGATGGATAGATGGAAAGCCCAAGGAAAGAATGAGGAATATTTATAATCTAAAAAGCAAAAGTTTCTTGTAAGTCATATTAATACAAATTGCAAAAATAAAAAAGTAATCATTTATTTCTGAGTGTTTTGGGGTCACAAAGGATTTCATTCTGATGATTATTTATATGTCAAGTGCTTTTGAAAGCCAGTATCCTCATCTGATATCAAATTCAGAATCTATACAAGGCTAAAATTATGGTGAGTCTTGTTCATTACAGCACTATGCATAAATGAGTGACAATACAAATGTGAAATGTGAAATGCTGTCATGCTGCCATTAACATTAACATCTGTGTCTGATACTGGTGTCATATAGAGAAGATGGAGAGATTCAGTGAATGAGACAAAGGTAAGATTGATAGACAGAATGTAAATACGTAAAAATAAATAGCTGGATTACTTTGTCATTCTTTGCTCGGCTTGATTTTGATTCCACACAAGGAATTCTGGGTCGTACCTATCGAAGGGGGACAGGCAGAGAGAAACAAGAGAAAGGTATTTGTTGGCTTGTCTGGCAACAAATTATTCAGTAACTGTCATAATAGTGATGATTAGTAAATAGAAATCAATACGTAGCCACTAAACTCATCTTTCTCTCTCAACACTTGGTTATCAGGCAATGGTGGAGGAGGTGGGCAGGGTGAAGGACATGCACTTAGAGGAGGTGGTGTGGAAATGGGGGGTATGTCAGGTAAAGAGAGGGTCTTAGGATAAAAGAAACACCAAACTGGACATTTAACTACTGGTTAGTGCATAGTGCAGTTTTTAATCATATAGATCAAATACAACACGACTTAAAAAACAAAGATTTGCCCTAGGTTCTGTTAATAAAAATAAATGCTGATTGCTAACATAGATGATAATATTATCCATGTGCAATTTATTTACATTTTTTAGTGACTGAAGATGACTAACTTTATCTCAAAAAAGTAAGAGGCTAAATGGTGAGGAAATGACAAGCTGCTAATCATAATATTTGTGGGTTAGATTTAATAGGACACAAACTATCTCCATACTAGGGATGGGCACATGATTTTCAAGTATTTGAATAGTAATTACATTTAAAAAACTTATTATTTCATGCGACTATGATTTTGTTTTTAAAAACAAAGCGCCACTGTTTTCCCTTGCTTTTACAGGTATCTGGAAATAACGCAGTAACGAGGCCAGCATATCACTTTACTACAGCGCCAAATACAAACAGCAGAAACATGCAGAGACTACAGCCATCAAAAGGTTCAGTGTGGAACCTCTTTGAGAAAATAAATAAAAAGATGCAGCGCAAACTCTGCCAGGTTAAGTTAGCATATCATAAATCGACAACAACTATGCACATTCATTTGAAGGCAAGACAGAATGTGGCTAGCTTTGTCACCCAAAAAAGGATGTTTGATGATCGATGTGCAGAGCAAAAATTAATGAGGTATCACATCAAATAATGTGCTGCTGTATTGTTTTCAATGTATTACAGGACATAAATGATTTACATATCACTATTTTCACTTTTAATTTTGATTTTACATATGGTCCCAACCTTTTCTGATTTGGTGTTGTAGAACAGCAGCAGTGTAATATGTTTGTAACCTGTAAAACTGGACAACTACAGAATCAGTGTTCCTGTATGATTATAATGTTGGGGGACCCTCCCTTTAACACAGTGTGGACAACAAGCAACTCAAATAGAATCGTCTCATTTAGACGGTGCTAGCACTGACTCTGCATGTTGTGTATGTAAAGCAAAATGCCATGCATCACAAGTCAGTCTTTCAAATGTAGCAGTGTGGATGTGTGGAATGCTGGAAGCTACAGTACAGTGAGCTAAAGAGTGAACAAACAGACAATGTGAGTGCAATGTGCCCAGAGAAATAAACACTTGGACAATGGGTAGAGGAAAGTGCAATGACAACAACCAGAGTCAACTATGCTAAACACACAGAAAGATATGCTTGTGTTTACAAATGTCACAAAATAAGAAAGCCATTCAGCACAAAGTGGCTTCCTCATTAGAAATATGAAATTTGTGAAAAAATAAATATCACCTGTTTAAACCTGAACTGAAATGTCACAGAGACATTTCACTTTTAATTAGGCTGCTTCTGCCTTTGACAGCTAGTCTGTGCAGTCATTAGTCAGAAGGAGGAGGCAGAAAAATCTGAGGCACAACTGGAACAGAAATACAAACCTGATTTTAACTAGGACAAAAGAATGATAAAAACAGCTATCATACTGTGTATGTATGTGTCTTCGTCTTACTCTTTTATCTGTCTGTCATTGTTTCTCTCTCACACACCCACACTCATACACAGAGCTCTCTTGGTTTTAAAAGCAGACTTCATGCAGGCTTTTCACATTAATTCTGTCTACCTACTGCACAGAATGCAACTGATTATCACTGACAGAGAGGCACTCCACTCCTAATAGGGACAACAAACTTTTAAATTGGACCTGGAGGTGTGTGTGCAAGCATTCATACGACAGTGTGAACAAGCCCCAGCACCAGGCAAACTAGAGAGGACAGTGAAAGATGTGGCATGATGTGTGCCTCATACTAAAGCCCAGATTCAGCCAGCCTTTTACTACACGGGCATGTCAAATCCTGACAGTCAGTTATCTGTTGAGGTGCTACAAAGTGCTACAAACGTTTTCACTGTTAAGGCTTGATGTTCTCCAGGCTACTGATATTGAGACACTCATGTATGTATTATTAGGTGAATCTGGCCCTCAGTAAGTTCACTGAAAGTGGAAAGACAGTGGAACAAAGGGCTTAATCAACAAACCAGAGGTGGATACAAGAAACAATATGTCCTTTTTTTCCTCACCTTGGGTCCTTCTGGATGCTGTCCACAGATGGAGATCGGCCCAGGGCAGCCTCAGGGGGGAGGGCAGGGCCTGACTTGCTGTAAGGTGACTCGGTGGATGGGCAGAACTGCAGAGTACGGTACGGATTAGCATAGTCAGCCGCCCCACTTCCTGTGGCAAAGCTGCCTCTCTGAAAGGTGCCGGCAGTGCTCTGGCTTCCTGTTCGCTGCAAGGGGATTGGGTCGACACCAGGGGAGGGTGGGGCTAAAGCAGGAACAAGAGCGTAGGGACAAAGTAGATGGTTGAGGACCTCTTGGTACAGTTGGCTCACTACTGGATTTGATGTAGTCACGGAGGGGCAGGGAATGGTGGACACAGAAATTACCACACAACACAGGGGAGCACAGTTTTAAATATATACACACAATTACAAAGAAAAACAGCACAGAAGAAGAAAAGAGTAGAAAGGGAAGAAGCAAATAAATAAATAAAATAAGTATAACTAACTGCAGTGACAACTTACAACTTAACTGGAGCAGTTTCACCAAATAGCTAAAAAATGTCATTTAGATGAAACATCACAGACACAATCAAATTAAGCAGACAAGCACCAATAAAAGACACCGTTAAGCACAGTAAACTTCATAGGTCACACATAAAACTTGCAGTGCACCCCTTGCACTGCACTTGCAGTGTCTTTAAGATAACATTTATGAAATGTCCCCTATACAGCAGGGTCAGTTAAACCCAGGTGCACCAGGGCAAAAAAATAAACTGTAGGCCCCCCTCCCCTCTTCTCATTTATTCCAACCTTGGTGACTGTGTATGTGTCCAGTTATGTTCAAGTGCCCATTATGGAGAAAGTAAACCACCCATGGGAGCTTTGCCCAAAGCCCCATTTGGAAATACCATTCTGTGCCCAGGTTTGTAATGTATTATGGGAGCACAGTATAAACGTTTCACCTCAAAATGAGGTAAAACTGCCTTTATTTGGACCTACAATCAGGAGTCTCTGCTGCTTGACTGACAACCTGCAGTAGTGGGGACAACAGACCCCAGGAAGATGTTGTGCACAGACCATGGATGTAATAAGGAAAACAGAATACTGTGATCTGAGATGGCATCCCATTCATTCCAAGTTCTCCACTGGGTGCAAACAATGAAAAGGTTTTTTCACACATTTTGCACACATAATTGGCAGAAAATATTTAGTATATTTAGTATTCTGTTCTTTTAGATTGTGTATTTATAATTTTGCAGTGATCAGTTTTCTGAGACTGTCCTCCTGTAAAATATGAAAGTATATGTTGTTTGTGCCAGCAGGTTATTACAATGAAATGTTATGTGTTATAGTTTGATTATGATATGAGGAAAGGATTATGTAAATAGAGGAACAAAGTGTATAATAGGAGGAGTTTGGGGTAGATAGCTAGTAAGCAAAGCATAGGACTTTCCCTCAGCAGAGCAGCAGAGCTGAGTTCGATTTCAGTATGTGGCTTGTGTTTTTCATGAGTTTTTATTCCTCAACATAACAATGTGGTTTTATTACTAAAATTGACTAAGTAGTTTCATTTTCCCTAAACATAGCCAAGTACTTTTCGTACCTAAACCTAACCAAGTAGTTTGTGTGGCAAGACGTAATGAAACCATGACGGTTTTATGACAGTTCCCAAGACAATGGATTACCAGTAGCTTGCTGCTAGCTAGCCTTGATTGTGTTTGTGCCTATTTCCATGATGACAAAGGTCCATAAAGCTTGGCAGTGTTGTTAATGTTGGCAGGAATTAGTTGCAATTCCTCTCATGATTACAGGAGCACTATTAAATGAGACATCCCTATGGGTCATGTAGGTTGGAGCACTTATTGGATTTTCTAATAAATGAGCACGGTAAAAACAGGCCAGTGCTTTAGGGTCTCGGTCCAGCTGTAATTCACCAAGAAATAGCAACACTATGTAAATCCAAGTAAAGCCATTAGCCATTTTGTTTATGTCATACTGATATTATACATTAGGTATATTTTTATACTTTGGATAGAATTAGGCTAGCTACTCTCCCTGTTTCCAGTTTTTTATGATAAACTTAACTAATCTCTTCCATGTGAGCTGTATAATCTTCTCACCTAACTCTAGGAAAATGCAAATAAGTGTATTTCCCAAAATGTCAATTTTTTAAATAAAATCTATATTCCCATTTAATTTGTAATTTTGCTGTTACATTAATTTACTACAAAGTAATTTCCACATGGTGAACCTAGGGCCCCTAAGAGTGTGCCTGAACATGTAATCCAGCATTAAGACCTCAGAACATCATAAACCTTTCAAAACCTCATGCCAGTCTCATACAGAGAAAAGAATTTGGTTGAGCAACTATTCAGGTATGATGTATAGTAAAGCTTAATTTATGATTCTGCATTGAATCCACACCGTAGGTACACTGTAGCCTCCTGCTTACAACGTAGCCTGACGTGGATCTCTCTAGAAATGTAACTGCACATTGTGGCAGGGTTTCTAATTGCAGGGCGACACAGGCACATCAGTGCACAAGTATAAATGCTCACAATGGCATAGGCCACTTACATAGCCTACAGTGTAGGTTCTGCATAGATTAATTGCAGAACCATAAATCAAGCTTTACACCAGCTAATGCTAATGTGTGGGTGTGTTACTGTGAGAGATAGCAAGAGAGAAAGACTAGAGAACTGCAAGGACCTTGACTAGGCCTGAGAAAATTCATCTGTGATGTGAAGAGGGGTGTGAAGTGTTGACTGCTTGTTTCTAGTTCTGTTCATCAGCTTGAATCTATTTGAATTGACCTTGAAATCTTGCCATACTGCAACAGCTACTTTGTGCTACATAAAAGAAAAAGAAAGGAAAAAAGGGAAAAAATTTAAAAAGCAGGTCAAAGCCAATGTGGGAAAAAAGACTTGACAGTCACAATGGGTTTTTCCTGCTGTCGTGACTTACATTCACAGACAAAAGACTGGAGATGATTACTGTTATTGTTATTTTACTCATCCAAGTAACCTGTTAATGTGTATGAGGAGCCAGCATTACAAAATAAATTCAACTCTATCAAATCAGGTGAAGTCAAATTAAATTTGGTTTATAAAACCCAGTATCACAAATCACAAATTTGCCTCAAGGGGCTTTACAACACGTAACACCCTTAGACCCTCGAATCACATAAGGAAAAACCCATTAAAATCCCTATAACATTTCATTGTGATCAAATCTCTTTAGTGGTATAAGAATGGGATTTTTTTTCTCATTTTTCTCTGTATGTGTATTTCTCTGTACAGTGAAGCTTATTGTTCAGGCGACCAAAGCACCAGCAGTGCGTCAACAACATTTTAGGACATGGTTGATTTGCTCTGATTTCAAAGCACCCAAGCTAATGCCCATGGGAATAATTGAGATTAATTTTCATTTTCAACCTTGGAACTAATTAGTTAACAGACTGTGACTGAGAAACAAACTGCCATTCAGACCCCAAATGGGTTTGCCTGCCTGATCTAGTAAATAGCACTATAAAATGGAAAGAGGAAGTTTCTTATGTATATACATCCATCCATCAATCCATTTTCTGCATCAGTTCCCTTAATATCACCACACCATTAAAAACACAGTTTTTAATTGGGACCAGACTGTCTTTTTCTGTTCTGCCTCTCTGTAATTTCAATATTGCTTTGATCCCCATCAGGTTGGAGAAAACCACATCCAGCACCCAGACAATCAGCACAGGTGCCCCTCAGTTCTAAAGAGGAATCATTGAGTCTGTTCTCTGCACCTCCATCACTGTCTGGTTTGGTTCAGCACCAAACAGGACAGGAACAGACTCCAGTGGTCAGTCAGGACTGCAGAAAGAATCACTGGTGAATTACTTATCATCCACTGATAAAGCTAATACAAACAACTTTTGGTACATCTTCTTCTGTTCACTCCCTTAGTGTATCCTGTTCCTCTACCACTATTCATCCTCCTTTCTCATGTTCTTCGATATCACCTAAATACCATAGTTGCAAATTTGTTGCCACTGTAAAAAACAAAAGTGCACCTCTTGGATGCTACTGCCTATCAGATGTTTACCTTCTTCTCATACTCCTTCTGTGAAACCTGCTTTCTATTCTTCTTGTGTTTTGTGATTCAGATTGACAGTCTGTATTTGTAGATATCACTTTAACACCTTAAACAAATAACCTTCCATCTCATGTATTTATTTTCCTCAGTCTCCTTATCCCCATGTGTGCTTACCTTGCCCTCTAAGGTTGGGTTTGGTATAGACTCTGTCTTCATAAATGGGGTCGATGTGGTGTTCAGGAGACTGCAGGGGTCGGAGCTCAGAACCCAGATGACTATGCTGGCTGCTGTAGGAACCTCTGGAGCCTGGAGAGCACAGGGGCAGTGGTAGTTAGAGGCTGTCTAGTGACAGATGGATGGAGGTGAAATAATATTCTTTGGGAATATCAATGTGAACATTAAGTGGGAGAAACATGACAAATACAAATTAGATCACTGAATTCAGTATTGCCTTCACACTACATCATACAACAGAGGAATGGAAATGCTTTCATTTTATGCTGTCTTTAAACTTCAAAACATGAATCTTCAAAATGACAAATCCACCTTTTGTAAAGCCCTAACAAAGTCAAACCTTGGCCCATCTTAAGTAGAGTTCCTCAGTGGAGACAGTGAATCTCATTTATGAATTGTTCATGAGTACATTTGCAGTCTAATACATTTTAGATAAAACCTCAAGCCAATTTAATCAAATATTTGTTAATATGGTTTTTCTTTTGTATTCTTGTGCACATGCTGATGAATAGTAATCACACATAAATAGAGAGTGGGTTCATATGACCTTTGACTATCATAAAATAACATAATGGAACTGCTTCAGAAATACCGTGTTAGGCCCTGAAGAAAACCCATAATTCATTGTCTCATAGAACAAATGGCATTAAAAATGAAAGAAAAGGGAACAGACAGAAATTGAGGTTATACTAAGAAATAACACAGTTAATAACAACGGGCACTAAATAACATCTGCAACTGAGGTTAGATATACCTGCCATGCTATTCTATGTCAGGTGAATGTTTTGTTCTAGTATAAGAACAAGCAACGAAACAAACAAATCTATTAATCAGTTTAATCAATTAATTATTTTTCCACAAATGAAACCCCTGACTAGAATGGACAATCAACAGTATCTGCTTTAGACCACAGAAATTTAATGTGACATGATGGAATTTCACAAACGGACACATAGAAAGTATTAATAAAATTGTCTTGACCTCTACCTGCCAGGCTACCAGGCCTTTGCAGGGTTGCGTTGGCGTACAGCTCGTGGGAAATCTTGTAGCTGTCTGCTCCGATGTGATGCAGCATGCGCTTGGTGGGTGACAGGGTGGCATAGCTTCCCACTGCTGAACTAAGCTGGTGGATTGGCGACAAGGTGTGGTTTCCCCCTGGGGAGGCTGCCATAGGAAGAGGGGAGGAGGAGCCAGCAGCACCTGATGCTACCATGTTAATTGGCGATGAGGTGCTGCAGAAGGGGGAAATTTAACTGTCAGAATTTCTGTCTGACTATTGTTTCTTGTCTACAATGTCATAGCCCCATTTAAAACTGCTGTAGGCATTTAAGAGAATTTCCAGTTTTACACTTCAAAGTCCATCCATGCTTTGAGCAGTATTGCTCAGCCTGCAAAAAAAGTTGTACAATGTCATCTGTGTCTCTGGAGGAGCTTTGTCCTGATGTGATGATGTCATCAAGGTGAGCTGAGCTTAGGTTAGGAAATAGCAAATTTATAAGAGGAAATCTATGTCACAAACTAGCGATGTGGAGGTTGAAAGATATTGAATTTAACAGGCAGCTGGGTGTAATAAAAATATTCTATCAAGCTGCATTAGTGGAAATGTAGGCACCAGTATATTTTAGCATATGAAAGGTTGAGTTCCACCTTGTAATACAGCCCTGTTTGAGCCTCAGCTCAGGCATGCCCATCTGTCATTGGTTAGATTTGAACCTCTCTGTGGCCGTTGTGCTCCTGTGGAAGAATTCCACTATCGCCTTCACTTTGTCCACAGTGGGCATCATCACCTTCAGAGCATCTCTTACAAACAGGTTAATTGTGTGTGCAAGACTCTTGAAGTGAAGCACATTCTCTGTCATATAGGCTTGGGATAATTTTGTGGGAGAGCATTTTCCTGCTTGGAATTACAGTACATACATTGAATTGAGAGCATGAGTAAGCTTCTTTGTCATCCACGACTGAAAATGGTTGGAAATCACATGCAATCATTTTAGTCAATTCCTCATCACTTGTGTTCAGTTTTACTGGGGTCACAGCCTTTTGCACAAACTGTCTCATAGAGCTCTGGGTTGTAAGTCTAGGTGGTTGTGGTGGTGTACTGGATGACGCTGTAGACACTGCAGCAGCAGCAACAGTTGCAGTAGACAAACTGGCGCATTCATTAGAAGCAGGTTCACTTGCATGCCTCTTGTCTTCCAACTGCACTGATGGATGTACAATTCTAATGTGCCTGTGCAGGTTATTTGTAGAGCCTGCTCGATATGAGATTTTAACCTTGCAAACTCTACACTCTGCCTTTGTATCATTGATGGAACTGAAATGCATCCAAATTTTACTGCGGTCACTCATTTTCTCACCTTTCCAGCGTTTTGTCTCTGTAGTGGCTGTTCTCTCTCCTTCCTGTTTCTTTCTCTGTGTGTGTGTTGTGTATGAAACCCTCTGTGGACACAGGTTTCCTGACTGGGTGTACCGGCAAGAGCGCTGAATCCTAGCTAATGTGCTTCTAACAATGAGGCCTTGTTAAATCAGTTAGCCAGACTGAAATTTAACCAACCTGTAGGATTTGGCGAGCCGGCTGGGTGACTGTTTGGGTGAGGACACCCTCTGTAGCGTGGCATAGCTGGGCATGTCAGAGGAAGCTGATCCCAAGCGCTGTAGCTTTGTAGGGGATCCCACCGCCTGCAGAGGGGAGCTGACACGCTGTAATGGAAGAGTTGTACTTCATTAAAGGGTAATGTCACTCACTTTAAATATTCATCCACTCTTTTTATTCTTATCATTATTTATAGAGAGATTAACAACTCCCCCGGAGCTGGAAAACCAGAGAGCAGAGACTCTGTGATAACATCACGATGGAAAGCTTGGAGTTATCACACCAAACAAGGGAAGACTGAACTTTTATAACCAAATGAACTTGGAATGTGACTGCAAGCAATGGGCTGCCAGATGAAGTTTCTTCAGAATTCTAAACTCGTATTTTCATTTTGTGCCAAATGACGGAATAAGTTGAAGTACTGAAACATTTGCAAGATTTTGTGTTTACAGAGCCTAAAGTACAGTTTTAAATATGCCATTAATCTGGATGACGAGCATGGTCAAGAAGTGAGGATGCTGATCATTTCTGATATAGCTGAATGATGCAGGTAATTTTTTTCAAATGAGTTCAAAGACATAATTCACATGGTATTTTTAAAATCTAAAACTCTGAACCTGAAAAAGTGAACACATTGTAGCGCTGCAAAAAAAAGCAATAAAATGGTAAATCATCACCTAAGAGCCAGAATTGAATACAGATTTGCTCCATTGTGGATGCGCTGTGGACTGACCCCATACAAGGATCCACTTGCAGATCTTATAATCCCATTGTACTAACTGCAATAAATATGCAGGGTCAGCCTTTTCTTCGATTGCTACCATGATAGTGGTAATGTTGTTAGATGAAGAGTGGGCACACTTTTGCTTCCACAGCACTGAAGTGCCATGTGTTTGTACTAAAGCACTAAACATCTGCCCCAAATGTAAAGAACACTGTGGAGATAAAGTAGTTTTGCACAACATTTGACTGTGCAGGGTATTTTTAATGCATCATGGCTCATGAGCTGCATCCATGTGTTATTTTGTGGGCTAATTATTGTATGTGGATTTAAGCGGCAGATCAGTGATTCTCAAGGACCGGCTGGAGCACAGCTCCTAAGTGCAACGCAGGTCACTGTGTGGAAAGCTGATATAGGAGGTGTTGATGAGAGAGAGCCTACTGAACTGAATGAGCTAAGGAGGTGCTGCTCAAAGACAATGTGTGTGCTGTTGTCACTCCCTCCAGTATCCTATATCATAACAAGAAAGTACAGTAGGTCGTAATTAGATAAAAACATCACATTTACATGTGAAAGTATCTCGTTATACCAAGAAAAGTTTCTCATTATAATGGGATACCTAACAAATTTTTTTTTTTTCAGTGGTGGCAGTACGCTGCAGTAGGTGGTTCTTGTGCATACCATAAAATATAATTCTGCAGGTGCCACTCCTCACCAATGTTTTGTAGTCAAGTTTAGTACTTTGGTGCATATCCTTTACATCCAATGGCAGCTTGAACTCTGCTATTCATAGACATGACCAGTTTCTGGTGTCACTTCAGCATAGAAAAGGTATCCCCCGCTGAGTTCCAATTGGGTGACTGACTTGGCCTGTCAAAAACTTTTAGCTTTAAAAACTCATTTGTAGCCTTAGTCGTGTGTTTGAGATCATTGCCTTTCTGTAAAATGAATGACAATGACTTTTAACTTTGGCAATTACTGGATAAATCAGAAATTCTGACTAGTAACACAGCTAGAGGAAACATTAGAGGATCACCAAAGTTACTGAAATCTACCCTGTGGCGAATGTCTGTACTGCATTGGCAGACAAATGCTCTGGTTTCAAGGTAGAAAGCTGATATCTAAAATGTTTTCACTTACAATTTTTTGCAATGCATTTTTTGTTTTTTTCCAAGTATGCAACAGCTGTTGTCCTTCACAAAGGAACACACTACAATATTTTTAGAAGCTCAGCCAAGCCTACAGAGGCTGAGTGTAGTATTTCCTTAATATAACAGAAGTGATAGGATTAAAAAAAAGGCCAAAAGTGACACTAACACTCTTTAGTTTCAGATGGTGACAGCAGTGTTAAGGATTCCACTAGCAGTGTACTACTGATAGGAGTGGGGAAAACATCTATCAGCAACTGAATCACAGTAATCTCTTCAGGGATTTGTACCTGTGCAGGCAAAGTGGCACAGGAGTAATACACGGATGATCCAGTAGGTGCAGATCCACCCTCAGTGGGCATGTGGAAGGCGCTACCATGGGCCTGTTGAGCAAATGAGTCTCTCTGGGACTGGGAGGGAGAGTCTGTCCCTGTTAACTGGGCAGCTGCACGGCTGGATGTCACCTACAGAGGACAGAGTGTGGACAAAGTTTAAAGAGGGAAACACGCACCAAGTGAGAAGTAGAGAGGGACGATGGAGAGGGAGGAGAGAGGAAAGAAGAAGAGGAGAAATGGGAGAGATAATATATAAAAAGTGTGTGAGAGAATGCACGGGGAGATCAAGAGAACAAAGAATGAGACAGGAGACAGAGATGATATGAAGAGAGAGAACAGATGAAGAAGCAGAGTGGTGGAGGAAGATGGGCAGGGATTAGAAATGATAAAATGAAGAAAAAAGAAACAATTAAAAATAAACCCTCTGATTAATCAATGTGTGAGTGTACCTGATTGTAGCTGTGCACTGCCCCTCCGATCTGCCCACTGCGGCCTGTTTCCCCAAGTGCAAGGCCATGGTTACTGTGGTAACCAGCTGCTGCATAGGCATCCTGGCTGTTGAGGTGCAAAGTGCTTTGGGAGAGGAGTCCTTGTCCTGATGTGAAAAGGAAAAAGAGGAGATGAATAAGTCATTAGAGGTCAGTGAAGAAGCGTTTGATGTCTAGAGCCTTTAATATAAATAAATTAATAAATTCTGTATTTTCTATGAGAGGGGAGACAAGAGGAATTTGGGTTTGGACCTGGAGAGATGTCAGCTGAGGTTATGTCAGTGTTTGAGATAAACGTTTGATCATTTTCAAAAACCACCTTAAGCTTTGCTGTCCCTTCTGTCTTACTTGTATTTATGTAACTGTTTTCAGATGACTTTTGCTTCTCTAACAGCCTGTCTTTGTGTAAAGATTGACTGTTTGTGGTCTTGAAGGCTATTTCTAGCTCACGTTATACAGTGTATTTCTTTTTTATGAGAAAGAATGAATGTGAATAAAATAATTATAACTGTCTTGATTTGTAACAGACCTTAAAAATGAAAAAGAAGAGAAAATAAAGTGACGACAGGAAGCTAAAGCAAAATAAAATAGAATTTCTTGTCCTTATTTTCAAGACACCTATTTGCTTTTTACCCACTATGTTATTCCAGCCTTTCCATTTTTTTCCTCTCATGTTCTCTGACCCTTAAATTTCACTATGTTCCTGGCCTCTGTTTAAAACACTCTCGGTGTCTCTATTCATCCCTTTATTATTCTCTACTATTTGTGTTAGTGTTAGAATATTACACACACTTGAGTGAAATAAAAATGTACGTATTAAAGCTGTCCTTTGTGCATCTATTCATAGACCAGTGTAAATGACAAAATGTTAAATCTTTCTTTTCAAATGTTAGGTGAAATGCCAGAGCTTTCTGTTAAGCTAATGCTTAGCATAGCGTAGCCTAGCCTGTTTCTAGGTTCAAAAATATGTCTACCCTCATCTCTAAAGGTCACTCATTAACAGTAACATCAGTTTATTCTGTACACAAAAATGACATCTTTGTTTTTTCCAGGATTGACAAGGATTCCAATCTTGACAAGGAACTTATTTTAACAAGTTTGTATTGTTGATCAGTATAAATGGCTATAGTATACACTGGTCAGCAAAAGAAATGCAGTATGATTCATTATGAGTTGTGAGACAGGAATGAATTTTACAAAATACACTGCCTTAATTAACATATCCACTTAGCAACCAAGCGGATAGCCACTCTGTTACCAAGTCACCATCTATTACACCAGAATGTGAAAAAGAATTTCTCTATGCCACATTCTGGTGTGACTAGGCCCTTATGCCACACAATTCTAGCTTGATAACAGCCCAACCAGATAAACACAATATACATTTGACCCCGTTCAATGTTTCCTACAACGAGTTTATACAGCAAGCATAGGTGAGCACCATCTTAGCAGAGCAGCAGCAGTTTCACTGCTTTGTCAGGATGTGTTCAGGCATTACACTAGTTATGTGTGTAAAATGAATAAAAAAAAATGTCTTGACACCTAAAAATACACTTCAGGTCACCATCATGTTCATAAAACACATGTAAAACACAAGCTCCTGTGTTGACATGCTTTTAGGGGAAGTGAGCAGCACAACATCTGGAATGTCTAATGACGTCCCAAAAAAGACTGTATATCTGAATGACAAATTTTCCAATGTTTTTAATGATAAGTGTGCAGAATGCCATTTGAAATGATGGGCTGTATTATTTTTGCTGTTAGGTATAACAAATAAGTCTGTAATGCCTCAAGCAAGCAGTGAATGACAGCGGTGTCAACTTTATGACAAAGTGACCATCCAGAAGGGAAAAGATATTGCAGAATTAGATATCTGTACCTTAAATACAGCATACACATTACACATACATCAAGTATTCACGTGTCTGTCTCATTTTAGACACTAAGAACTAAGAAAAAGCTACTAAAAGCTCAACGTTTTTTTCGGGGGTAGGTAAGTTTGTCATTTTTTTTTAATCTTCGTCCCTGGCTCATTACACATCATCTACACTTTGCAATATCATCTGTCAACTGCAGTCAAATTTGAAGTGTGAGAATCAGTGATACACTGCTGTGTAACACCTTCTGCTGAGGCTGTTTTTATTACCGGAACCGCACTTCCACTTATATGTTCAGGCTGCCATCCAAAATCCACCAAAGATCCAGCTGGCCAGTCATACAGTGAGCTACTATGAAGCTAGCAGCTGGTCAGCCATCAACTCCATCGGTTAGCCAAGGGTAACTTTTCAGTTTGTGAGTCAGACTTGCAGGAGCATTAAATATATAACCTTTTCTAATCAAGTGCTTTAAAAAGATGCCTCAATACAAGCTCATTAACTTTTATGTGAGCAGTCAATTTGTGAAAATGGATGTAATTTATTTTCTCTAGGTTCATAATGTCATGAAACTACAGATGTTCACATCCCGCTTTGTGGCAAAAAAAAAAAAAGTACAGTAATTTATGACTGACTACTGTATGACACAGATAAAAAAAACAGGTTCACAGAGCAGACTGACGCATATACCTGCAGCATAATGAGATCAAATGTTTCGCTTCTAATTTTACCAGCCGCTTCATTCACGTTTCTGAAATACTTGCAGTTGTTTGATTTGCACATGGAATTTTATTGATTGATTGATTTATTCTTTCAAGCAAGTAAAGATAGTCGACATGTCAACACACATATCCAACAAATGCTAATCCATTATCAATTTGCTTATACCTAGTACATGCTTGAATGGAGTAGGAAGAAGTCAGACTTATCCAGTCCTACCCCATGACATCATCTTACCATCATTGGTTTGCAAGCAGTATCTCTACATAGATAATTCTCTTCTACACCACAGAAGTAATATACTAAAAAAATTATAATAGAGTGTTAACATTCTTACACCACACCCACAATGTTAAATCTGTTCTTGCATATATCTTGATTGACACATACCTTTATATTTATTTTTAAACTCATCAATTCTATTACTATTTGTAATAGAACAGTTGTTTGATTTGCACATGGAATTTAGCATTAACATGCAAATATGCATAGACAATCGCATTTAGCACAAACAGGTTACATCATGTATGCATAAAACACAGTGACAAGACATTCACAGGTGTTTTGTAGACTGTAAATTGTGTGGATGCCTGGGTTTTGCAATGCAGATTTGTTTGAGGAAGATGAAAGCCAAAACTTTCCAATCCCTCTTAATCCTGTTAAATTTTTGATGCACCATTGATTGATTCACTTTTGGTGATGATAACAATGATGCTCCTCATCAACACCTTTAATTACAGAAACAGGCTTTTTTTTTAATTTGGTTACTTATTATTACCTAAAACATGAAGTCCCAAAGCAGCATTTTGCTTCAGTAATGCATGAATTCAGCAACATTGTATTTACAGTACTGTAGCCACTTTTCCATTGGTTTGCCTTTTTGGCACTGTCCCTGTGCTGGAAAATAACTTTACTGTATTACATTAGCTGTAAATAGACATATAAATTCCTAGCACTCAGTATATGTACTCAAAGGAATTCTTGAGCTGTTCTCCATCATCACCAACTATCCCTTTAATCTCTACTGATGTTGCCAGCAGTCTAAGAACCAGAAACTTTGTTTGTGTGTGATTTCTAAAGAAGAGTGAAAGAAAGATTATAGTCTGCCTGCAGTCAATATCGTCTGCATGGGACACATAAAGTCAGTAGCTAATGGTAAATGGAGCCACTCTGGATAAATGCATAGGAAAATAAAGAGAATATAGTGTGAATAAAGTAACTATACAGCAAATGGCTCCTGTAGCCGGTGTAGCTGGTAATCATGCATTATTTGCATATCGCAGTTATAATAAGCTAAAGGTGCTGGGTGAGTTTACTAGGTAACAGCCTCAATGACCAATATAGGCTCATGTGTACACACACACACACACACACACACACACACACACACACACACACAGGTATATGAAACCATAAAATGAAATGGACAAATTTGTACTCCAGATGGAGTCATACATACACTCTTGCCCACAAACCCAAATGTGTGTTTACAAAGTCAGGGATGTTTTCCACAGTTTTAGTAGCCTTCTTTAGGTGTGTTTCATATGGGTAGTGGAGTCATTAGGGAAGTGAAAGGCCTCATAAATACATGATCACTCAGATGCCAAACACTGAAGGCTCCACTGATTAATCTGAGGTGAGTGAGTGAGGGTAGGGAAGTGAGGTATGTGTAGATAGGAAGAGGTAGGAGTATATTAGTGCATTAGCTGGAAAGAAGTAGAGTGCTACTGAATATAAAGATGTCTGCTTGTGCATTTTCTCACTTATCTCTTCTCTCTCTCTCTCTCTCTCTCTCACACATACACACAAACAAATAAACAAAAAAAGATTTGGTGGCTTTTCTTTGTGACCGGCATTCTCTATTGGCACATTTTAATATTTCATCAGCTGGCTATATTTAGACACCCAGTGGAGGCATATGCAATTTGCTACACATAAAACTGCATGCACAGTCCTGAATAGCTGTGTACAACATAGTCACATACACACATATTAATACACACACTGGCAAGCAACACCAGCATGAAGCAGCATGAAGCAGCATGAAGCATGAAGAGACTCAGCGTAGTCTGTAGCTGTGGCACACTAATCTGCTCAGCAGCTTTGAGTAAAGGAGTGGATTCTGCTGCTGTGTATGTGTTACAGATGTGCATATGTATCTCTTCATTTGCACAATGTGTGTGTGATGCTTCCTTATATGACCATGTGCTTTTGGGCCAGATGGATTTTCTCGACTGACCGCTCCTTTTTGCTTTGTTTACACCACTTAAACAAATACCAGTTGACTGTTCATGAGCAGATGGTGGCAGATTTAATGGGTCCTTAATTTCAGGCAGAGGTAGACAAAACTAAGCCTATCAAGTATAGGCAGTAACTTTCAAGTTTTGTTGGCTGAAATGACAGTAGGTCAAACACAAGGTCTCTGGGTATTTTTTAATGTTGCTGGCTTTCTCACTTTAAAACAAAACTCCTTTAAAAGAGTCTTGAACATGGACTTAATGGCTACATACATGATATCCTGCTAAAAGACTGAGGCTAAAGATGCATGATGGCACATGAAAACAACTATAGACAGCACTGTTTTTGTGCTGCAGTGTAGAGCTAGTTAGTCCTAACAGTGTAAATGTGGTAAAGAAAAACACAAAGTTAGGCTGTTGATTCTTTCAAACATAACCCTGTTTGAAATAATATGCTTCACTTTGAATGTTACAAGAGAAACGTTTTAAGAATGAAGGATGTGTTTCGAGACCATAACCATCTCTCAGGTCATGTTAGCTGGGGTTGCTGGAGTTTAAACCTCCTTACACCCAGTAAAGAGAAGTACAGTTTTTACTTTTCCTTATGCTGCTTATGTACACATGCAACCCTACAAAAAAATATGATTGCTGTTTGGAGGAGGGGTATGGTGAATGGTCATTTACAGATAAAGCTACATTTTGCTCCTTTTTAGTTTGATCTTTTATCCACTCTCTCTCTCTCTCTGTTTGCTGCTTTCTTTCCATCTGCCTCTCATTTTACTTACATTTTTTATGGGATGGGGGTGTTACTGTACA